TTCAGGATAATTTTTCTCATTTCTCTAAAACTAAACACTAGTCCTGGCTTTGTATACAAATTTCCCTTCTTAACCAAAATTCTTTAAAAATTTCAGAAAACAATTCATGGTTGAAAAGCTTGAGAAATCATTAGGGCAATAGAGCTAGGTACTGAGGTGAAGAATCTTATAAATATAAACTCAGAAAAACACAGAAAATAGATTAAAATAGACATCTGAAAATTAATGATTAATACTTTGCAAGTTTCCATTTCTATTACTTACTCCTCAGAAATCTTACAAAAGCACCTTCTCCCAAAATGTTAACAATATGCTTATAGAGTCCATGTCTGCTGTTGCTATAGACATGCACAACAGGAGAGACTGTTCTATTTGATGCTTCATATCAATGTTCAATGGCTTTTTATTTTATAGTTGTTGACTACTAATTCTTGCGTCTTACTGTAGTTCCAAAATAACGTAACTCTGATACCTGGAATGGAAAACATCTAGAGAAACTAACTTTTGTTTAACCCACTCTGCACAGATAAGAACAAATTCCCATATGTACCTATAGTATTTCTTAAAGATCATTCCTAATACAAAAGAGGTTATACATACTTTTAATCTCTGACCATGATCCATTCAGGCCAAGGCCCATTAGTCCAGAACAGAATACTTCAAACTGGCTTTAGCAGCCCCTCTCCTACTAATAGATGGATTACACCTCTGAGGCCCAGGTATACTTTACCCTAACTTCATCTCTCCCAAGGCTCTTCTGCAAAAGTTTCATTTCTCTTTAACCTAGTCTCCCTCTTCTTCCAATTACTTCTTTTTTCTAAAGCCAGATCCCAAGCTGTCAAGCTGAGGAAAAGATATACAAAATAAAACCACATATACTAGAATAAGGAAAAACGAACTGATGGTTGCAGAGGATGTGAATCTAGACATGGGTTTCCATTCAGTACTTATTCAGATTTAACATGAAGTAAAATGTTAGTAACATGGCTGCATGCCATGTAACTTTCATATCCTATTTCTCCTATGAAACACTTCTTACCACTCCTTGGATTCTCCCATAGTCTACTGGGCACATTATAAATGCTTTTAAATTAAATCAAGTGGAATGACAAAGTTAATTACTACTAACCAGGAACCCTATGTTATTCCAACCCTAGATGTTGAAAACATTTCTAATACCTTGGTAATATGCTATTGAATTGATTTTTTTTCCTTCCATTACTTCATTACTTCCATTACTTCCAAGTCAGTCTGACCAACTACCAAGGATGAAGTCACATGAAGCGGGAAATCAGAAAACAGACAACAACCTGGGTCCAAGTTCTAGTTCTGCCACTTACTATATTCTTGGTCAGATTACTTGACTTCTCTGAGCGTCAGTTTCTTCATGCATAAAATGGTGATGATATAAAACTACCTCATAGAATTATTTTAAGGATCAAATTATACAATATATGAAAGAACACTTTATAAAGTGCTTTAGTTGTTATCAGGTAGAGTAAAAAAATCTTTTTAGAGCCCAGTTCAATCCTCCTAGAAAATTCTTTTAGGGGGAAGAAAAAATACTGATGTAAGATGTTATTGTCACATGTTTCGTTTCCTAAGAAAAATGCAGATAGAAAGAAAACTGGTTAAAGTTTACTACAGCTATAAAGGTGGATAAAATAAACCACTAAATTACAGCCTCCTCTTTGTACTACTTACGATGGTAATCAACTCAAATGCCCAACCAAGAGAGAAAGGCTGAGTATGTTAATTTGACATATCATAATATTACTATTTAAATGAAAAAATGTAAACCACCAAAACACGGACACACTCATATGAAACTCTAAGCGGGAAGAGGAAGAAGTCCAAGATACTATTCATTCACTGATGACCACTATGTAAAAAGCATCAATCTCTAAACTGTATTTTTTGCCAATAACCAACCAAATACACTAATAGTCACAGTGATCATCCAAAGAAACATCAGGAAAAGGAATGCTTTTCATTATATCAAGTTCAAAAACTGCTGGAGTAAACTTAAAGAAGTCTTCTGAGTTTCATTAGTTTTTACTGAGGTACAATATTTGGCTAGAGGAAAGCTAATGAGAGGATAGCTCAATTTATACAAATAAATTTCATCAAGTAGAAACACGAACAAAGCTTTAACTAGTTTCACAAATATCCATACACACTTTATTTGGCTTGTCTCATATATTCATACACACACACACAATCATTATGATTTAATTATAAGATTCAAGATCCCACTGTAAGAAGAGAAATAAACTTTAATGCCAAGGGCCTGTGCAATTTATTTTTGTTTACTTTCACGCATTTTCCACTTTCAGAATAGAACCAAAGATATGTTACAACATATTGAGAAGGAAGGGAGAAGGCCAACATGATGTATTATTGCCTAAACAATTTAGCAATTCAATTATTCTCCCACCAATCTATTAACTTTTGTCAAAACCCTTTTAGCAAAAGTTCATTAGGGTCATCTATATACTCAAGTCCAGTGAGATCTACAAGTCCAGCTCAATTGTCAGAAATATTGAAGAAATTCTGCCTCAAGATACCTAGATATCCTTAAAAATTAATTTCATATCTCTTCTATTTTTTAGTTCTTATAATAGAGTTTATAGATGCACTTAGGAGTGGGAGAGAGTATCTATAAATGTATATAAAATTCCAAGCAGATGTGTGAACTTGTATTTGCTGACCCAGGGTCCACGTCTTCTATCAGATTCTCAATAGATTTCATGACCTCAAAATAGATTGAGAACTGCTACTATGTATCTCACAGGGTACACTTTCCAAATCTAAGAGCAGTAATTATATCCCAGTTGATAATTAATTGCTAAATAAAATAAGGCATTCCTTCCACAAAAATGAAGGCTCACAAGCTTTATGGCTGCACTCTTGCAATAAAAGCAGGAATCTGAACTTAATTGCCCTATGAAAGATACTTCTTGTCAGTATACAACCCACTCTGCAGTATTAGAAAAGGTTAACATCTCCTTACCAAAAAGCCAAGATTCACTTACAACACCCTGGACTACTACCTAGGTGATATAAAACTTTCTTTTTTCAAATCTTTTGCACTGTGTAAATTTTTCTGCAATAATTAAAAGCTGTATACATTTTTTAATCTGTTTTACTACCTTAGTTACCCAGACACAAAATGGCCAATATAATTATCTGCTTACTAAAATCCTCACTTTCAGTACTTCAAAATAAAATTCATGTTAAGATGTCAAAGGAAACAGCACTACTCATCCAAAAAGAGAGAAAGTAGTCCTTTTCCAAGTTAGTCTATGTTAAATCTATAAGAAGCATTTGCCATCGGCTATCTAAAACACTGGCATAATGTTCCAAAACCAAACCTGTCATGACTTCTAAAGGTAAGTGACAAAACCTATGCTTCCCAAAGAAAGAAAAGGTAAAATTTGAAGGTCATACTTAAGACTGAAACTATATTTCACAGGCTAAAAGCCAAAGTTAAAGAAAAATCACGGAATGTCTACTTAAATTTCAAATCAAGGCAAAGCATACGCAAGGTTGTTCACTTTCAGCTTCTTAAATATATCCTGCTTAAGGTATCCATTTTCTCCATAGAAACTTGATCAGAAAAATCCCTTTAATATGTTTTATAAATTAAGTTCCAGTGTTCCTGCCATGCGGACTGCATATTTCATCTGATTATTTTATGAAAAGACCAGCCTCATTCATAAGCTACATCTAAACCTAAAAGGGGAAATATGCTTCTTCTCAAAACCTTTAAAAAAATGAGCAAAAAGTTGATGAAAGAACACTGCTGCCACGTCTTTTCCCCTCCCCCACTCACGTAGAGGCTATTTCATCCTTTCTGAGTGCATTCCAAGGGAAAGTGGAAGAGCCACAGCTCTCAGAGAAACCAGAAAGAGTTAAGTTGAAACTGGCAAGCCTCTTTGGCCTTTCAGATCAATTCCTAAAAGGAGATCTAGCTGTTTCTTCATCCCTTTCTTAAAGTAAACAGTGCAAAATTTCAAGTGTTCTCCCCTCTATTAGGAACGCATAGGATGGTAGTGTCTAAGAACTGAATTGTATTTAATACATTCGATTATTTAAGAGAAATAGTCTCATACTTATGGTACCATTCTTCCTGCCCCTTAAAACATACATCTGGGGACCGTTCATGTAATCTGGGAACTCAAAGCTCTCACACAACTGTGGAATTCGTTTTACTGATGTGGACTTGTAAAAGCAGCAAACTCTCTGGTGAGAAAGACAGGAGGGGAGAGGGAAAAACTCATGTGCCTTTAAAAAAACCATGTGGAAGAAGAGGGAAGGAAGACGACTAGCTTCCCCCACACCAGGGTGACCTGACAGCCGACTTCCTCAACTCCGCAGCCCGAAACTCGCCGCCCGGGGCTACGTCTAGCTGTTCCAGCAGCACCGACGCGCAACAGATGAGTTACGTCTGAACTTCTCTGGGTAGGTCCACTTCCCAGACCCACGTCTTTTCGATAGGGCAAATATGCCTGGGGTGCTTCAGCTCCACTACCACAGGCTAGCCATCTGCTGCTACGGAGGCCAAAAACCCACGCCCCACCCCCGCATCACCCTCAGCTTTGTAAGGAGGACCAGGTATGAGAGAAGCTCGGGAAAAATTAACAGTGTGACTCCGCGGGAAGGAATATTCAAGAAACTCCTAGTCCCCGGGGCGGGGACAGAGGCTGCAGCAGAGCCCACGGTCAGGGGCGCCGACCAGGGAAGAGGTGGGAAGGGGAGCACGGAGAAGGGCAGAAGGGCCTTTGGGGCAGCCGGGGGTCGCGGGGCGCAGGGCGAGAGGCCGAGTCTCCAGAGAAGGTACTGGGCTGCTGTGGTAAACTGTGGTAAACTGGAGAACCCCCCACCCTCAAGCCATCCCACCAGAGGAGACAGGGACCGGACCGCCACAGCCGTCCGGGAAGGGCCAGGGCTGCCCAAGGGCCTCAGCCTCAGTCCCCAAGGTCGGGGGAGCATCTTACCTGCGAAGCGGGACCGGGGGGCGGCGCGATCTTCAGTCCCCTGTCGCCTGCACACGAGCTGGCTACCTACTCCCTTCCCTCAGCCCGCTTGGCGGCACGACTGGGCAGCAGAGGGAGCCAGTTAGCCCTTTTATAACCTCTAGGCCGCGACAGCAGCGCTGGGGAGGAGGCGACTGCAGCCCTTGCTACGTGAGCTCGATCACACCAGCGCCCCCGCGACTGCGCAGGCGCCCAGCCTCGGCCGCTCTCCCGCCCCCACCCGTGGCCCACACCCCTACTCCCCACCGGCCGCGGGGAGTCTAAGGCCGAGGGGCGGGGCCGGTAGACGGGCCTCGGATGGAACGCGACTGCGCAGGGTTGCAGCCCAGCCCCCGCTACCGCGGTTAGCTCGGGTTCGCTCCGCTCGCTTTTGTCGGGTGGTTTAGTGCCTTAATTTCAGGTTTGGCGACGAAGCCACCAGTAATGAAATATCTTAAATGTGAGAAGAGGAACATAGAAGCGTAGAAAATAAAGCAGAAAGGAAGCCTCGGATGGGAATACAGTGCTTCCAGGCTTGATATCTCAGCTGTCTTGGCCCTGAGGCTTTTTGCTTTGCAAACCTCCGTCTCTCACGTCTACTGTCATTTTATACGAATCTGGCTCATTTCCTACCTTTATACTCTATGAGTAGATAATGGCCTGCGCGCTCCGGAGACGCATTTTCTGGGTTCAATTCCCAGCTCAGTTCAGTATAACGCTGGGCGTTAACCTCTTAGTATCTCAGTTTCTCATCTAGAATAGGAATGTCGGTAGGTACCTCATAGGATTATTGTGACAATTAAATGAGATAATGTATGTAAAGCATTTAGCATATACCTAGCACACAGAAAGGACTCGGTAAATATTAGATTGTGTTGTTGTAGCATATAAGGCACCCAATGTTGTGTTTGGTCTCAGTCTAAGATTTGGCTTAGTCAGTATAATCTTAAAAGAAGAAAACCTTAGTATCAGTGAGAGGACAATGAAAGAGATATTTTTCCCTTGTCTGTGAAAGGGAAGAATGACTTCTCTAAGACTTGTTATTCATTAAAAATCGTTTTCAGAATTTTCCATGTATGCTAAAAAACATAGCAAAAATTAACATTTGACTCTTATCTAGGAGGTGGGGTTGATTATTCAGATACAGAAATAGAGAGAGGGTTCTCTGGGAGCCCTAGGCAACTAGAAAGTAGATATAGTGATGTCTAAAATCAGCAGTTCTCATGTGGTCAGGGGGTCCACAGGGTCAAAATTATTTCATTGTAAGACAGTCTTTGCCGTTTCAGCCTAATGAATGTACAATGGGGTTTTCCAGAGACTACATGTCCTGTGATATTGCAACAGATTGAATGCAGAAGGAGATGTGAGAATCTTCTATTAGGCCAGACATTAAAGAGATTTGCAGAAATGCAAGATAATGCCATTCTTCTCACTAAACTCTTTTTGCATTGGAAAATATAGTTATTTTTCATTAAAAATATTTATGTTCATGTGTAACAGATTTATTATTATTTTTAAATGAATTAATAAACAAATACTTTACATGTTTAACTCCTAATACAGTAAATGTTGATAAATATAATCCACATAAAAGCTTTTTGGAGTCTTCAGTACTTTTTAGGAGTGAGACCAGAGTTTGAGAACAGCTAACCTAAACAAATAGCAGGGAGCCCTTTGACACAAGAGGCAAAGATGTCTTCCTGTTAGAAAATCTTTGCCTCGAATGGAGCTGTAATCAATGTATCTACTAGCCCTATATACAGCTGACTCTGAAAATTGACAATTCACCCTATAAATAAAATGGCTCCAGACCTTGAGGCAGATTTGCTTTGAAGCTAAGAAAACTTCAGCTTCAGGGGATTTCATTGCACTAGCCCTTTACAAGGCTCTGGAAGGGGCCTTAGCAATATGTTTATATGGTCATAAGCTTTTGTAAAATTTGTAAAAGTAAAAATTTTAACTGCAATCTTTAGACTGCTAATTCTTTCCTTACTGATTTCTCTTCTGTCACACTTCCCCTTGTCTAGTGTGTTGGAGTAGCTAGCAGGCATTTTTAAAATTTAGCTGAAGGGAAATTCAGTTTGAATACATGTGGTTTGAGTTTAGTAGGATATGTTTTTGTAATTCAGTCACTTCCATACATAGTTAAGATATTGCAGCTGTCCCAGTGTAGGAATGGCATCCAAGAATACTCCTACCACCCATTGTGCCCACTGGCCCACTTACCCAGCATTGTAAAACAAAGGTGCAGGGCCAGACATCTTATACCTATTTGAATGTGCCCTTTGTCCTAGCATCAAAAATATATGGATAATAGAGGAGAAGCAAAGTTGAAACTTAGGGAGTCTGAAGCTAATCTGTGGGAAATTCTTCCATTTATTGGATGTGTAAAATTTTAATGAAACGTTTAGTGCTTACCAATGCTTAGCCAACAAAAGGAAGTTCTTTTCTATCAGAATTTAATAAGGATATCCACAACAAACTAGTTAGAGTGTCATCAGTTTAAGGAAAACTGATGTGCCCTGAACTCTTTCAAGTCATATACTAAATAACTTTATTTGCGATTTTCCCAAATGTGACAACAATCCTAAAAATTTACACTATATTATGAGTGATGAGTTGTGATGCTGAAAGAAACTTCTAACCTATCCCTATCAATATCATGGCCCAAAAAAGGACACTTCATATCAAATCTACTTATGACTATTGAACCTGATCATCCCTGCTTGGTTAGAATGAAGATGAGAGATACCTTGGGGAACAGACAAAGAATGATATGACTCCCCTCTGAAAGGTCAAACGTTAGAAGAGAGCTGCTGTAGCTGTACTATAAACCCCCAATAAATCTCTTCTTCTTGCATCTGAAAAAGTTGAATGTGCCCATCAATTAGTAATATTTCTTGAAGAAAATATTAAAAGTCCTATATTCTTAGGAACAGTCTCTTATGTAGCTATGGTAACAACTAATAAGCAGAAGTTATTTTATTTTATTTATTAATTTTTTTTTTAGGAAGATTAGCCCTGAGCTAACGTCTGCTGCCAATCCTCCTCTTTTTGCTGAGGAAGACTGGCCCTGAGCTAACATCTGTGCCCACCTTCCTCTACTCTATATGTGGGACTCCTGCCACAGCATGGCTTAACAAGAGGTGCAAAGGTCTGCGCCCAGGATCCGAATTGGCGAACCCTGGGCCAACGAAGCGGAACATGCAAACTTAACCACTGAGCCACTGGATTGGCCCCAGAAGTGATTTTAAACTCAATTAATAGATCAGTGCAACTCAACCTTGTCACCAAGCCTCTAACAAACCAGCCAATCAGTAACAGGCTCCCACTTTTTAAAGTTACCAAATGGCAACAGCCTTACTGTAGTTAATACATCTTTGAAAATCAGTCAATTGTCAACAGTTTCTCCACCAAAGTAATCATGCTTCTATAGCTGATGTCAACCCACTCCCACCTTGAAAGTCAGCCAATCCCTGAACTCCACCTTTCACAAAATGCTGTGTAAAATCGGCAGAGAGATGTGTCTGCTGCATAGTGCTTCCTCACATAGAAAATAATAAATCAGGGGGCCAGCCTGTGGCATAGTGGTTAAAGTTTAACATGCTCTGCTTTGGCAGCCTGAGTTCGTGGGTTTGGATCCTGGACGGGACCTACACCACTCATCAGCCATGCTGTCACGGCGACCCACATATAACGTGGAGGAAGTCTGGCACAGATGTTAGCTCAGGGCTGATCTTCCTCAAGCAAAAAACAAAAAGAGGAAGATTGGCAACAGATGTTAACTCAGGGCTAGTCTTCGTCAGCCAAAAAAAACAATTAAAAAAAGAAAATAATAAATCAGCTTTTTATTTCACATTTTGAATGATAGTTTCTTCCTTCAACATTGAGCACCTGTGTGCCCAACAAAAAGGGAAGCCAAATAGACATAAACCCTGTAACTGAAAGCAGCTTTAATCAAATTGCATTCACACATATGAAACAATTAGAAATCATTTGAGAGAATGGATAAGCATTGAATTATGTTGTGAGGATTATAAAATACTACACACTTTACTTGAGAGTTAGAAGAATGAAGTTGAATTTGATGAAACAGGTAATAGTAGGTAGGTCTTTTAGCAGGGGATTAAGATGATGGAACCTATATTTTAGAAATATTATGCTATGTAAATTAGAAGGAAAAAAAGTAGAGTCTAGTTATCCAAGATCCATTGAATAAATATTTATGGAATACCTACCTACTGTGGCTGAGATACTGCTACTGGGCTGTGGAATAACAAACTTTAATTAGACAGTCTCTGCTTTGAAAGAGTTTATAATCTTATTGGATAGAGTTAAAGCATGCACTTGTGACAATGGGAATTCATTCTTCCAATAAATATTTGCCTATATGAGCCAAAGTATGCCTCTATGAGTCACACTATGCTAAGTGGTAGGTATATGATTTCCGCTCTCGTAGAACTTGGAGTCTTTTGAAAGAAACAAACAATATACTAAATAAATAAATAAGTATTGGTGAGTGTAATGAAGGAAAATAACAAGGTGCTATGGAAAAGAATAATAGGAAGGACGTAATTTAGATTCATAACACAGAGAAAGGGTCACTGAAAAAAATGACAGAAGCTGAGACCTGAGTTCGCCAGATGAAGTGTGTGAATAAGAGCATTCTAAAGACAGAGAACGGCGTATGTGTGGACCATGTGGCAAGAGAAAGCTTGGTGCATTTGAGAAGCTGAAAGAAATTCAGTGCGATTGTGGTGCAACAAGCAACGGAGAAATTGCTATGATTGGTATGCAAAGGCTAAATCATGCAGGGCCTGTTTAGTAGTGTAACAAGTACAATGGGAAGGCGTTGAAGTATTTTAAACAGTGAAGTAACACTATGTTGTTTACCTTTAACAAAGGAAAAATGCAGGGGAGAATATGAGTTTTCCATGTCACTGGACATGGGAGTGGGCCTTGGTAGTAGGAGTCATAGGGACTTCCTCCTTAATCATGAGTAGGGACATGAAAGTCAAGAGATGAGGTATTTCTAGAATGTAGCTGAAACTGGAAACCATTCCAGTCACTATCATCCTGTTGCTATGGCATTGAGGAAAGTGGCTGCAATGGGGTTGCCAGACCACCTACATCATGTGGCCTCAGTGGGGATGCTCGCTTTGGCAGGCGGAATAATACC